TACTTATAACAAGCCCTAAAGAGGTAGAAGGAAAGGAAACTCCCACTTATACTCCATGGAAGTATCTACTCGTTACGGAATCTCAGGTGTCAAAGTGTGGATTTCATATAGTCAAAAAGAAAAGGGACGTGCTATATCCGAAACGTACGAAATTTAGTAAATATCGTAAAGGCAGATGTAGTAGGGGCAATTCAACCCAAAAGCTTAAGCTATTGGGTGAGGATATATTAATGATTTTATATATCTCAACACGTCCCCTCACACGAGAGCTGGGCTTGAAGGGTGGAAATGCACAGCCCCATCAACATGTGCGATCAAAGAAATTCCACTTGAAAGAAAGTGGGGGGGCGGCGAGAATCGAACCCGGGACACGAGGCTCTAATACCATATAAAGAACCAATTCAACCCAAAAGCTTAAGCTATTGGGTGAGGATATATTGATGCTTTTATATATCTCAACACGCCCCCTCACACGAGAGCTCAATGAGCTTGAATGGTGGATAATGCACAGACCCACCTACCTGTGCGAAGTAAGAAATTCCACTACAAAGAAAGAGGTTGAATTGGTTATTTACATGGTATCAGAGCCTTGTGTCCCAGGTTCGAACCCGAGACACGAGGCTCTGATACCATGTAAAGAACCTTAGGATACACCACCCCAAAAGCTAGCTCAAAAGGTGGGAGTGCCCAAGACCTTGTAAACTCCACATTAGTTGCACATACAACCAATGTGGGACTATATATCTCAACACGCCCCCTCACGCAAGAGCCCTTTGGGCTAGAAGTGTGGATTATGCACAGGCCTAATTTTTTGTTTACCTTTTGTGCTTTTTATTTTAATTCCACTTTAAAGTGGGGGCGGTGAAGATCGAACTTGTGACCTTGTAGTCACTCAAACTCTGATACCACGTAAAGAACCTTAGGCTACACCACCCCAAAAGCTAGCTCTGATACCATTTAAAGAACCTTGAGATACACCACCCCAAAAGCTAGCTCAAAGGGTGAGAGTGCCCAAGGCCTTATAAACTCCACATTAGTTGCACATACAATCAAAGTGAGACTATATATCTCAACACGCCCCTTCACACGAGAGCCCATTGGGCTAGAAGCGTGGATATTGCACAGGCCCAATCTTTGGTTTACCTTTTTGTATTTTTTATTTTAATTTCACTTTAAAGCGGGGCGGTGAGGATCGAACTTGTGACCTTGTAACCACTTAAAATATGTTACTATGTAAAGAACCTTGGGAGTTGGGATACTATCCGAGAAGGAAGACATTACACCATCATTCCTTGTTTGGTCACCACATCTTCGGCAAGGAGTGTCAATAGCATGAGAGGGAGTTGAACTTATAAGGAGATGGTCCAAGACAGTTACTGTTCCAAATTCTTGGCCTGCTCTTCTGGTGAAGTGAATCACCATTACCTCACCAACATATATTCCTGGTATCTTCCATCAAAGAAATTGGCAGAACAAAGATGTCAATTTCAATATCATTCATATATAAACTGAAAACACAGGTTCTCATTATGAAAGCTGAAAACTTCGTATAAGCTTGGACTGTAGATCGTCCTCCTCAGCTTCGACCAGAAGGAGGGAGCAACTCTGAATATCATTTCTTCACAAACCTCACTGGGTATTACACTGACAAAGCTTCTGCACAAACGTGAGGGTTACTTTGGTCCTCAATTTCGCGGTTGATTTGTCACTTCCCTGGGTAACGAAAAATTTCAACAAATCTATGGTAATGTTTTTGTGGTATCCGACAAAAATTTGCAAAGGAGAAGGAAATCCTAGAAACAAATATACCCAGAATATTTTGGTTTTTTATACCAAACGCGGCATTCCGTAAATCTCAAATGAGCTTTTCCGTGCTTTAAAAAAAAAATCTTATACCAGACACCATCTTAGAGTTGTTTGGTGGAAGATAAATTTTTTGAATATTAGGAAAATATAATTACTAAAAAATGGTTGGAAAGTGAGTTTGGTAGAAAAATATAAAAAAAGTTGTTTGGTTGACCAAAATATTACCAGAAAAATTTATTTAAATTTGCAAAATCTATGTTCTGTAGAAACTTCGAACCTATTTTTTCACTTCCCATATCTCAAGTGATATTCTGTAATAGTGAATTTCATCCAAAAATTAACACAAAAGTCATTTTCCCATCTATGCTATTTGCCTAGTATTTTTTTCAAAAATCTGAACCAAACGTGATATTTTCCAATATACACTTACACTTTCCCATCACTCAAAATAAATCTTCTACCAAACACTACCTTAATTGAAGATTTGGAAAACTGCTGCAGTTTAGAATTAAAATATTGCTATTTGTTTGTAATTTCTTAAATAATTTAGACATACATTTTTTCTAGACACCAAAATTAACAAGCGTCACTGTAACAAAACCATCATATAATTAACGTGTATTTGTCGAAGTAAAAGGATTTTTTTTTTTAAGTAGACAAATAAAAGGAATTTTAGTGCACTGTACTACAATCAATTTACCTCCCTATTATTGAAAAACGGTATGATTTGAAAAATTAAAAACAACCTCTTCTAATAACAAACGGGGATATGCAGAATTTAGGTATTAAAATTTACTTAATTTGTTTAGTTTTTCTTCAAAAATAATAATAATATCACCCTTACGGACCCTACATTTTGGAGCTTCGTATGCTTCCCAAGCTAAGACTTTCTTTTGTTTTTTAATGCATTTAAAAAAAATTAAAAATAAAAAAACATTTTCTTACCAATATTTTGGAGCTTCCTACCCTTCTCGAGATCAAGGATTTTCTTTTATTTTTAATGCATTTAATGTTTTTAAAAAAAATATTGTCGAGAGCCGCGGCTAAATGTGCAGACATAAAAATTTTCTGGATCCGCCTATACATATGCTCATATGTAGGGGTGTTAATAGGCAGAGTCGGGCCGAACTCTGGTCTTAAAAGGCTAAGCTTGTGTTTAAATGTGTCAGTCAGACCTAGCACCTGTTATGAATATAATTACCCGCCTACGGCCTGATTTATTTACAAAAAATAAAAGTGATTTAGTTTGATAGCCTGTTAAAAAAAATAAGACAACAAAAATTTATCCAAACATAATATACGATCAACAACATCAATAATTTCACAAAAATTCATAAATTTAATGTATATCCAAACATCATAATATAGAATAAAAATATTCAAAAAATCTATTTAACCAATAAATTGGGGTGAAAATGTGAAATGGATTGAAGAGATAGAAAGGACTATTATGAATAGTGTAAAAAATATAAAATAAAAATAAAAATTAGTATACTAGGTGGTCAGCCTGAAAGGCTCTAAGGCCAGACTTTTGAATTGCAGCTTAAGACTTTTTTATTAAACGAACTTTATACAAATGTAATTCTAATTCTAATAATCAATTTTAGATATATAAATTCAGGTCTTTACGAAGCGGATCAAAGACCCCTAATTCATTTACCACTTCTACTCACACGTAAATCAACCTTCAACACAATCGTTGATCGCACATTTAGACTTTACTAATACATCAACGAACAAGTTGGTAATAGGCATTTCAAACTAAGGGAAAAATTATTCTCATGTCACATGAAACAAGTTTTTTCTCTTACACACTCTTTGATAAATGTGTCACCTTTTTTTTTTAGGTGATGGAACCCACTAGTTTGTCTTTATGACATGAAATAATTATCTCTTTAACATGAGATTAATAAAACCCTCAAACTAATCACTGAATAACAAAAGCACTAACGAATAAAATTAGGATCTAAAATGGCTTTTTCTACTAGTATGCCCTTCTTGCGTACTCATAATTTTTCAGCCCCGTTAACGGTAATTTTATGACTTCACTGAATTTGTGTGGATTCATTAGCATTTTTCATAATTTGTGTGGATTCATTAGCATTTTTCATATTATTCAAGAGGAGTGGCAATCAATGTTATCAAAATCGAGTTTCCACGTAGAAATAGAAGAAAATGATAGAACGAAACGTAAAAATTTTACTACTTAAAGTCAGGATACAAAATTATATATATATATAAGTCACTACTCAAAATTTAAGGAACAACTTCATATTTAAAAGATATAAATCACATTACTATATAAGACATACACCAAAAATACAAAAAGAGTTTAACAACTCCTATAACCAAATTTTAAAATATTAAAAAAACAAAGTTTAACAACTGTTACATGGAAATAACACGGCCTTGTGCAAGGGTTTTTTTATAACTAGAAGAAGATACTATGTATTTGATTTGGAGAAAATAGAAACAGGATTTTTTTTTATTGTTTTTTTAAAATTAAAACCAAGTCATGGGTTAAAAGTTGATCCAGTTCAATTTTTTAGTTTAAGTAAAAATGTAAAAACTTGTGTTTTTATCATTTTTCACACGAAGTTTTTATCATGTTTACTTAGAAGAATTTTTATTTGTATTTTAATATATATCACTTCAATAAAATCATAAAAACATAAATTTTTATATTTTTATATTAATTTTTGACAATAATAGTGGCAAACATTATTTGGTCAAGGTGCAAGTCTTCAAGTCTATGTTCTGCAAATTTAGGAGCAAACTAGCACCTACTAAGATTATAAAAAAAGTAACTACGAGAGCCACACATATTTTAACTTTTTACCTAATAATAAATGAGAAGTTTATTTTTCACGAGATAATTTTATCATATGCATACAGAAAAAATTACTGAAACCTATTTTTTTTTCCCTCTATCATATCTTTAACGGGAATTAATATTTTTTTATATATTAAATGAGATAAATACAAAGTGAAAAACATATTCCCGGTAGTAAATTGTCTTTACGTCGCTTTCTTCACTATAAAGTAAGGTCTGTAATTTGCTACACTCACTGCAAATTGCATACACAACCAATCGTTCTACGACACATCATAACAAAGCCATTGTCTATATCTCTTGTTAAATATCCATCAAAGGGAAAGTTATCAAACCCACATGCTATCATCTTCACTTTAAATGCACATATAATTCAAAACAAAGGAGCATTTTTTCGACATACCCACCAACCAACACATGACCATGACCATGATGATGTCTCTGTTTGTGATCTTACTCCTCCTACGCACAACCTCAGTGGCATCCTCGGATCTCCGACCTGGGTTTTACTCAAATACATGTCCAGAAGCTGAACTCATAGTTCGAGATGTCATGAAGAAAGCCCTCGCCAGGGAACCAAGAAGTGTTGCCTCTGTTATGCGCTTCCAATTCCATGATTGCTTCGTCAACGTACCCAACTGAGATTTTTATTTTTATTTTATTTTTTTATTTTATTTTATTTTCTGAATTACCTATTGAATTTGTGAAGGGGTGTGATGCTTCTATGTTACTTGATGACACACCAACGATGCTTGGTGAGAAATTAGCACTCTCCAATATAAATTCCCTTAGATCATATGAACTTATTGATGAAGTTAAGGAAGCACTAGAGAAAACGTGCCCAGGAGTTGTTTCTTGTGCAGATATCATAATCATGGCTTCTAGAGATGCTGTAGCACTGGTTCGTACTCATCTCTAACTATAAAGGGTTCTGATTTCCTTATTTATTGACAGTGGAACTGATAATTAATTATATTTTTAACTCATGTACTATTTTTTTTAATCTGTTAGCTCATATACTATTAGGGAACAGTGACATTTTGCCACCTGGCAAAAAATTTACCGGACTGCCACGTCAACAGTAAATTTTGCCAAAATGTCACGCGGCATATTTTGCTACACTGTGTAGCGAAATATGTTTGCATATAATTCGCTACACATTATAGCGAAATATGCCATGTCAGGCTGCACAGTCAACAAAAATAACACGTGTCAAGCAGGCAGAATTCAAGCATAATTCGCTACACAGTGTAACGAATTTCTACCTGCTTGACACGTGTCATTTTTGCTGACTGTGCAGCTTGACATGGCATATTTCGCTACACTGTGTAGCGAATTATATGCAAACATATTTTGCTTGTAGCAAAATATGTTGCGTGACATTTTGGCAAAATTTACTGTTAGCGTAGCAGTTTGATAATTTTTTTTGCAATGTGTGACAAAATGGTCACTCTCCCTCCCTGCTATTAGTATGTAGTATTTGGTTTCTTTTTTGTCATCAAGATATTGTCTCTCATAATTTATTTTATGGAGAAAATACAAGTTTAAAAAATAAATGTCAACGGGTTGGTATGACCTTGAAATATGGTAGTCTCTTCTCTTCTTAAATTTTTTCATAAAATTAAAATAATGCTTTCCAATTTTTCTGAGATGACATGAAAAATATTTTTCTAAGATGATATATGAAAAATAGAAAGGAGCATTGCTTTGCGGATCGACTCTGCATCATAATAAAGTAAAATTAACATTTATGACAGATAAAACAAACTCTCAAAAATTGTTAAATATTATTTAAATCATTCATAATCTTCGAACAAAAAAAAAATTCATTCATAATCGTTAAAAACAATAAACAATTCCTAACGAGATCCACTTACTTAAATTAGGGGGGGAACTACTGAAATTTCATCTCTTAAAATAAATTACGTAGATATAGTTATTCGTAAACAAAATTGTAAATGAAAATTATATAGTTATTCTTGGTTTATTAGTTGGATGTGAGGACATGATGACCTGTGATTAGGTGTATTATTATACATGTTTGAATTCAAAATTTGTCAATTTCTTGGAATTGAGCCGCTAGAACTAAGAAATGTGCAGGAAGAGATTCTTGTCCTCTAATTTCGTTTATTTTACTTTTCATGCACGTTGTTCATATCATGACAATGTAAACTGATAAACTTTGTCTTCCCATCATAAAATAAATTTGCCTTTGTTCACATCGTAAATGTGCCGTGGTCAGAAACTTATCCGTTATTGGTTTTCAAAATTATCAACCACCTTCTGGATTTCACCAGTGAGAGTTGTTATTGCTGATGAAAGATGAAAGTCTATGTAGTTGTATCCATGCAAACACAAAATGTTATGTTTTACTGGGGAAATTAGCTGCTAATATCTTACCACAGTGGCCTAATTCATTTTCCTTTGAGCAATTTTGTAATCTGTTCGTAGAAAATTTGTCCATATAAATTAGATGAAACTAGTATTTTTCCTTGTATTGCAGACAGGAGGACCCAACTGGGAGGTGAGGTTGGGAAGATTGGACAGCTTGAGTGCTTGTCAAGAAGACTCAAACAATATCATGCCCAGTCCAAGAGCCAATGCAAGCTCTCTTATTGACCTATTCCAGAAATTCAACCTTAGTGTGAAAGACCTTGTAGCACTCTCAGGATCTCACTCTATTGGCAAAGGTCGTTGTTTTTCAATCATGTTTAGGCTATACAATCAATCTGGTAGTGGAAAGCCTGACCCTGCCATTGAGCCTAAGTTTAGAGAAGAGCTTTACAAGCTATGTCCACCAAATGTTGACCAAAATGTGACAGGGAACCTTGATTCCACTCCTCGGGTGTTTGATAACCAATATTTCAAGGACTTGGTTGTTGGGAGAGGATTTCTTAACTCTGATCAAACACTTTTCACTTTCCCTCAAACAAGGGAGTTTGTGAGGTTATATAGTAGACATCAAAGTGAGTTTTTTGAAGCATTTGTGGAAGGGATGTTGAAAATGGGTGACTTGCAGTCTGGTAGGCCTGGGGAGATTAGGAGGAATTGCAGGATGGTCAATGCTTTGCTCTTTGAATCCCACCACAAGACAGAGAATAATGATAAATCAATATAAAAAACATGTATGTGACTGCAGACTCATGGATTCATAAGATGCTATCCAAATTTTAAATATATGAAGCAAACTGAAACGCATCATGGCTAATTTTAGTGTAGGACGCATTTCATCACAAGATATGTAAGTTTCCCTAAAAATTTTAGTTATCGTGCTTCCGAATAACTCTTCATATTCCTAGTTTGCAAATCTATAGATTGTTGGGATTGTCTCTATGCTCAGCAGTAATAAATATGTTGAATTAATAAATGTTACGAGCTTTATGGTACAAAACCTTTTAAGACCAGCACTTCGTACTTGCTACTGCATCCATGGACTGGTTGTCATGAATACGTAGGATCATCACCGATTCCAAAAAAATTAAGTACACAGGGTGATGAAGCAGTTTGTATTTTATCTCCACACTTGGGGAACGAACCATATATAAATTATTGGCTTGGGTTACACTCCTCGTGTGCAAAGTGTAGAAAATCCACTGTACAGGGGATAACAAACTCCAATCTTGGGTTAGAATTTTATCCGTAAAGGTGGGCTACTGGTGTTGCCAAATATTCCTCTTCTTCTTCTTTTTCCCCATTTTCTAAACTAGTTAGGATCGCAGAATTCCTTTGTCAGCAGGGGGGAATTGAGGACAGGAGAAGAAAAGACTATGATTAAAGAAAAATGCAAACCCATAGTAGGCTATGTTGATATTCAGTCAACAAACCCATACCTCTAACAATCAAAAACAAAACGTCCAACCAAGTACCATAAACAAGTTTTCCGATTAGGTATGGTTAGTTACATGGATCAAGCAATGAAATCACATTATGTCCAAACCAAGTTTCCAGAAAGGTTATTTACATCAAAGTCTTTTTGAAATTTCCTTGGTCTTCCTTTATCTTTATTTATTGGGTTATTCTCTATCTAATCATCTCTTCTAATTGGGACATCTATTGGTCTTTTCCTCCATTTTAGACGAGATTCTGTAATCATTTCCTTAATAGGTGTAACTTCCACTCTAACACAATATTTGATAAATCCCCTTAATGCACGCGCACCTCCAAACTCAACTCTTGGATGTTAAGTTTTAAATTCAAATCAGATCAAGCAAAAACGGGGAAAATATTTGAAAAAAAACAAATGTTTTTCGATTTAAAACATTGCCAATAGTCAGCAATTGTTCTTTTGATTCCTAAGAAGTAAAATATTCCAGCAATTGATGAAACCAACATCCAGTTTGAGCAAGCCCACAAATAAATAGCCACCGCAGCTCATGTAACAAAATTCCTGACTATATTGCTCATGAAAAATATAAAGCATCGAATGAATATGGTCCTCCACAGATTGAAACTCAGTGTTACCTGGATTGCTTTGACCTCCCCCTTTGTCAGTCTGGCTCACACTCATTGCTCTCAGATTTAATTTCCCTCATGCATAGTTGGTTTTCTCTCAGACTCACTTGGTTGCTGATGTTTGGTTTCTTTTGCTATCTCTGATTGCAATGTCTCAATATAGGATGCATAAAAATTAAGAGTGCTGATTTCCTTTGGTTTGAATGTATACAACAGATATGATATGAAGAATCTGAAATATATTTCAAAATTCCAAAATAATAAAAATGTCAAGGAAAATTCATTACTTTTCAACAAGAGCATGGTAAAGTTAACAATAGATATAGTTATGTTTAATTCATAAAAAAAATGTTTAAAGTCATAAGAATAAAACATAGCACAAATAAAATGAGGACCGATGCATTGAAGTCATCATCGTCTTCATCAAATTTCAGGGATAAAAGAATATCATTATTCTATTTTTCCTCATCTTCCATGGGCTCACTGCAGTCATTATCACTAGCAACAGCAGCAAAAATAATTCTTTTAAGGAAAAGAAAAATATTAAAAGAGTTAGGACAAAGGGGCAGGGGAAGACAAACAATACCATTGCTACATACACCGGAAGTCAAGCATAGAAATCACAGTATATCAAATAAGTCAAATGAATCAGCAGAAGAACTATAATCACATATGCAAGCAAGACTATGGCCACTTCCGGGTTGGGTCAAGTTTTAACTATAAAGTTGCTTTCTTAGGTGATCATTTTGTGCAGTCCAGTGTGTTCCACAAATAACTCCATGGGAGAATCAATTTAGGAAAATTCAAACAGAAATTGTACATTTTAGATGCTGCTCCACAAGGGTTTTATGTATCATGTACCAACCAACTTACCAATCAACATTGCATACAACTACTATAAGCCATACCTCATTTTGAGGAACATCACAGTCACAGGACTCCTTCGAGTGGAAGGAATGCCATTATTCTATGCCTAATCAATAGCCCGTGATCATTACCAACAGCTGCAGTATTATCACATTGCACATACATATCAGCTAGCACTTCCTTCTGCAACATGCTAACACATCCCAGTCTTGCTTTGATTGCTCCCTTCGTAGAGCCTGCATGCTTTATAACAACCTTCAGCAAACATTTTCCGTTCCCATCTTCACCTTGGTTGACAACTCTTGAACTGCCCATCACTTTTTCCCTTTTCCTGAACACATGCCTCCAACTCTGTAGAGGCAAGCCTCCATGCTTTATTGACTATTGTGCAACCAATTTTTTTTCTAGAGCCAAAGCCTAAATTGTCAAACGCATGTTTTACTAATAACTGCCAGCAATCTTAATCTGATAATTAACCGAGAGAATCCAGCTAGGGGAAGGGAGGAAATGCCATCAAACAAAAATGGGGGTTATAAAAGCCTTCCAAGCAAATGAGGGGAAGGGAGGGTAAATGCTTATAACACCACCTCTCCCATTTAGTCCACCAATAACGAACTAGATGTGTCAAAATGTGAAAAATACACAATTTTTTAATCATACTAGAATATGAGTTTCATCCAAGGCATAAAGAAACACGTAAGAATCATCCCTGATACAATCTGGGATGTAACCTTTACTAACTAGGAATGGTACAAGTTGGAGAAATAATAATTACTTGGAGCTTGGTACACGACCTCTCCTATCCAAGAATGATGGTATAACATGGAGATATAATAAAAATTAAATCCCCGATATACCATGAGAATAACAAGCCTACCTCATTCAAAAATTCTTTCCCCGGTTGAAAATACTAAGAATACAAAAGAACTAAAAACACATAAGAGCCCCGGAATGAAAAACACCATTCTCCAGCTCTCTGGACTTGAAAGGTCAGAATTAGCAGCCTTAGCAGCTTCAAGAAGTTTCCCAGTGAGGTCAACTCCAACAATGCCAGCCAAAGTACCCGCGGTATTCGAAACACCCATCACTATCCCAGCATACCTAGGAGCAACATCCATGTGGTTCACCGCGAACCCAGCTCTCCCAAGCGCCAAGAAACCAAGAGCCACAGAGGAACAGAACACAGCACCACCAGAAGTTCTGAAACTAGGAATCACAACCAACGCAAGAGAAGCAACTAAAAAACCTACAGTGTTCAAGAACTTCCTCGTCCTAGTAACAGACAACATCCTCCGAGTGATCAAGTAATCAGCAACGACACCACCAATGTTCGAGAACACAAACATGTTAAGATACGGCAACATTTTAGAAGAACCCATATCCTGAAGACTCAACTGAAGACCCAATTCAAAGTAAGTGGGAAGCCAATTCATCAACACATACAAAGCATAATGAAAAGTGAAATTGTTAACAACAATAGCCCAAACAGGTAAACTAGTCATAATTTCCATCCAAGGGATTTTCGAAGTTTTGACTAAAGCTTCTTCTTTATTATCAACTTTTTTATTAACAGGCAACAAAGATTCCCCTTTGGGATCAGAAGCATATTTGAACCAAAGCAAAGACCACATAGCACCCAATGCAGCCTCAGCAACGAAAACAGATTGAGGACCTCGAAACTTAACCAAACTCGGAAGAAGAAGCATTCCCATAGCAGCACCAAGATACATACCAGAAGTTGTTAACGAAACAGATCTAGATCTCTCGTGAGGTGGGACCCACTGAGCCAAAACGGTGTGTATCGAAGGGAAAATGAAACCCTGAGCTACACCAACGAGTAAACGAGCAATGACTAAAATGGTAACTCGATTCGGATCGAGAGGAACCAATGCACAAGTTAACGACCATAACAGAAACGAAAGGAGTAGAACCCTTCTTCCACCGATTTTCTGAGCTGCGAAACCACCTGGAACTTGAGAACACGCGTAACCGTAATAGAAAGTTGAGAGTATTGAACCTTTGGTTGATTGGTTAACTCCAACGGCGTCAGCAGCGACAGTGTAAGCGATTGAGAAGCCAACGCGTTCGATGTAGCAAACGGAGGTGCAGATGAAAGTTAGAATAACAATGAGGTAACGAACTGGGAGTTTCATCTTAATTTAACAACAAGAATAACAATTTGAATAGAGGGTTTTGATTTTGAGCATAATAAGCATTGATCGGTGATCACACAGTGTGTGTGAGAGAGAGAGGGTGCGGTGTTAACTGCTGCGAAGCTAAAACGGCACCCAATCTCTTCCGTTTCGAGCATATGCTGATGCTGATGAAGGAAACAGACAACGACTATTGATTTAAATAAACCAAAAATTTCTAAATCTCACAAGAGAGTAAATAACCAGCCTGGCTAGTGGATACTGGCAACCGGCAAATCAGTCAACCCTTTTGTGAATCTAACTTTAGTTTTAATATGGTTTAAATTATTCTAGGGATAAATTAGGGTTTAAGATCATAATATGGTCTAGGGATAAATTATTCTACTGCCATTTTTTCATGCTTATCTTGTGTACTCAATACCCTTAAATTAAAATCTCAAGAAAAGAAAAGAGAGAAATAGTAAATGTTAGTTGAGATGTCTACCTTGTATACTAATTTTTAATATCATTAGATGATAATCACAAGAGGAGAGAGAAATCATAAATATTAGTTAAGATTCTGATCTAATAGTAGTAGAAGGTGATAGGCAGGGTAATCAAGATAAAGAAATAGGTAGAATAACTTATTCTTCTAAATTAAATTAGGGATAGGATATTGTGACATCCAAGTTATGTTACACCCATGTAACACCCAGTCAATCTCACCGTTAGATCGCTTATGTTGATCCAACGGTTATATTTATTTCCATCTTTGTATGGTCATGATTTCCCAAATTTAAAGTGAAAGCATTAAATATGGAAAATCATAACCATACAAAGGTAGAAATAAATATAAAATATTAAATTTGGGAAATCATGACCATACAAAGATGGAAATAAATATAACCGTTGGATCAACATAAGCGATCTAACGGTGAGATTGACTGGGTGTCACATGGGTGTAACATAACTTGGGTGTCACAATATCCTATCCCATTAAATTAAGGGTAGATGTTTGTAAGGTTTGATATTTCTCGTGTTGTAAGAGATAATTTTATTCGCTACACATATATAAAAATGTGTGAAATCCATGTGAAGAGGAGAGCAAACAAAAATATATGAACCTCCACACTTTTATGTGTACAATATGAAAAACACTAAACTCATATTAAGGGTAAACTTACTTTTTAAACATTTACCTTGGTAAAATGTAACAATCAATACTGAGATTTTAGATTGAAAAACCCCAAATATAGGTGAAAAATGAAACTTTTATAGAAAAATAAGGTGTAATTGATGTTATGTTCATTTATTTTTCTATTGTTTTTGGGTGGTTAGACTTAGTGGCACTCATTATGTAGTGTAATATCATATAAGAAAATATCATCAAATTCTCTCTCTATCGTCTCCCCATACTGATTTACATGCATTTTTAAATCTCAGTTCTTGATCAAAGGAGTTAGCTTCTTTTATTGCTATTCCTCTAATTAATTAAACTGAATATTGTTGGATTCATAACAATTCCTGATACTTCTACCTGCCACTCATTTTTCATATTACAATTGGTATCAACATTCACTTTCTTGTACTCTCTCACCATGATAGTTTCAACTAGAGCCCAGACAATTGCTAAACTAGATCCTTCAATGGGAAAAGTATTTATTATTTGAAATGACATAAAATTATGTCATTTTTAATGAAATTACGTCGTTTTGGTGTATTTTTATATTCTTTCTTTTCCACTCTTTTTCTTCCTAATTTTAAGACAAAACACAACAAAATAATGTAATTTTATTAAGGGTTATATTCATCTCATTTTACATGAGATAAACAATTTTTCTACACACAAAAAATAGTGGTTCCTCCCACTCTTTTTTTCTCTCTTCTGCCACTTGCAACTTTATTTCTACCAGAGATAATTGCATACATCATGGTTCTGAAAATCAAACCGGTCACCTTGACGGGTGTGACCATGAACTTGGCATATGGCCACATTTCAATAACTAACCTAAATTTGGGAAACCGTTCAAACTGGTGACGGTTCAATGATGAACCAGTTCAAAGTTTTATGATGCAAAATTCTTTAAGTTTTGGCACATGGATCGAATTGAGAAAGTCATTTCCCCGTTACTCAACTCAACATGTGTTTTTGTTTATGGGAGATGTTATAGTTACTACCTTTTTTTCTTACTACTTGTTATTATCAAATCTTAACCGTTGATTTCAGTCAATCTAACAGTTAAAATTTATTAGAATTAATAATTAATTAATAAGTTTGATCCAATAAATTATAACCGTTAAATTGACGGAAATCAACGGTTAAGATTTGATAGTAACAAGTAGTAAGAAAAAAAGGTAATAATTATAACATTTCTCTTTGTTTATATATATATATATATATGTGTGTGTGTGTGTGTTCGCATATAATTCAAATTTAATATCTAATTATTTAAATTAAAATATATCATTAGCAAAAAGTAATTAATTATGGAGTAGGATATTGTAACAACCAATTAGTGTTACTACCAATGTTACTACCAATCAATTTCACCGTTAGATCGATTAAGTTGATCCAACGGTTATATTTATTTTCATTTTTGTATGATTATGATTTTCCATATTTAATGTGAAAGCATTAAATATGGAAAATCATAACCATACAAAGGTAAAAATAAATAAAAAATATTAAATATGGGGAATCATAATCATACATAGATAGAAATAAATATAACCGTTGGATCAACATAATCGATCTAACGGTGAAATTGATTGGTAGTAACACTAATTGGTTGTTACAATATCTTTCCCCATTAATTATATCCATAAGTAGTGATATTTCATTCTAATGAATTTGTTGTACTTTTATTAAGTTAATTAATATATAATGTAATTATTTATCACGTTATCACGTCATAAAATTTAAACACCAATCTAACTATTTGAAACGATTAAGTAAGAGTATATGACTCAATTTCTGGTTCAATTTTTAAAACAGTTAACAATCATTTCACAAGCAACTCCTAAATAAATTTTCTTACACTGGATTGATAACTTTTATTGGATATTCCAGTGTAGAAGTGAATTTTACAGTATTTATTGTTAATCTATATATATATATATATATATATGAAAAAATATTTCTACAACCACTTAGATAAAGTTATCTACAACTATCCAAAAACTACATCATTTTGATTAATGAAATGTGTTTTTGTAATTTTAGATGAATTAATAAAAGGTATTTCAGTGAAATGTATATGATAAAAAAATAAATAAAATTACAGAAACACCCTTCATTAATTCACCTAAAATTACATAAACACTCTTCATTAATCAAAACGACGTAGTTTTGGGTAGCTGTAGATAACTATATCTAAAGTGGTTGTAGAAATATTTATTATATATATATATGTATTATATATAATATATATATATTCTCACACAGCTTGAGATAAGTTTATCTCCGGCCACCCCAAAACTACGTTGTTTTGTTTATTTATTTCCTTTTATTAATTGATTCATCTTTGATTGGTTATGATTTCATTTTTCTCTCTTTTCCTTTATCACCATTGATCCATCTTTGTACGGTTATGATTTAGTAACTGGAGATAGAATTATCTCCGGCAGCTTGAGAAATGATAAGCCCTATATATATATATATATATATATATATATATATATATATATATATATATATAAATGGGAAAAATATTCTCACGCAGCTTGAGATAAGTTTATCTCCGGCCACCCCAAAACTACGTTGTTTTGTTTATTTATTTCCTTTTATTAATTGATTCATCTTTGATTGGTTATGATTTCATTTTTCTCTCTTTTCCTTTATCACCATTGATCCATCTTTGTACGGTTATGATTTAGTAACTGGAGATAAAATTATCTCCGGCAGCTTGAGAAATGATAAGCCCTATATATATATATATATATATGGGAAAAATATTCTCACGCAGCTTGAGATAAGTTTATCTCCGGCCACCCCAAAACTACGTTGTTTTGTTTATTTATTTCCTTTTATTAATTGATTCATCTTTGATTGGTTATGATTTCATTTTTCTCTCTTTTCCTTTATCACCATTGATCCATCTTTGTACGGTTATGATTTAGTAACTGGAGATAAAATTATCTCCGGCAGCTTGAGAAATGATAAGCCCTATATATATATATATATATATATATATATATATATATATATATATATATATATATATATATATATATATATATATGGGAAAAATATTCTCACGCAGCTTGAGATAAGTTTATCTCCGGCCACCCCAAAACTACGTTGTTTTGTTTATTTATTTCCTTTTATTAATTGATTCATCTTTGATTGGTTATGATTTCATTTTTCTCTCTTTTCCTTTATCACCATTGATCCATCTTTGTACGGTTATGATTTAGTAACTGGAGATAAAATTATCTCCGGCAGCTTGAGAAATGATAAGCCCTATATATATATATATATATATATATATATATATATATATATATAGGTTTAGTGAGTATCAAGTGACTTGATGTAAATTAGGTCCGGTGCACTATATTCTCCCGCGAGAATATAGTGCACAAAATATCTTGCCTATGTTCTCCCGGGAGAACACCTGCAGAACACCATTATACTGTTTTTGCACTATATTCTCGCGGGAGAATATAGTCAAAATTCACTCACTGGACAGTCCTGTGAGTGAATTTTGGATTTTTCGTATATATATATACGAAAAACATTACAATGGTGTTCTGCAGGTGTACTCCCGGGAGAACATAAGCAAAATTTTTTGTGCACTATATTCTTGCGGGAGAATATAGTGCACTGGACCTAATTTACATCAAGTCACTTGATACTCACTAAACCCTATATATATATATATATATATATATATATATATATATATATATATATATATATATATATATATAAGGAAAAATATTTCTCCGGCAACTTGAAATAAGTTTATCTCCGTCCACCCTAAAACTACGTCGTTTTGTTTATTTATTTTCTTATATTAATTGATTCACCTTTGAATGGTTATTATTCTATTTTTCTCTTTCTTCCTTTATCACCATTGATCCATCTTTGTACGGTTATGATTTAGTAGCCGAAGATAAAATTATCTCAAGTAGCTTGAGACACGATAAGCCCATATATATATGGGATAAACATTTCTACAGTCACTATATATATATATATATATATATATATATATATATATATATATATATATATATATATTGAGAAAAATGTTTGTCATTTTAAATGACATAAAATTATGTCATTTTAAGAGAGAGATAGACACAGAATAAATTTTTTTATTTAAATTTTAAATTATAAAAAACCACTCACTTTCTCTCTCCCATGATTTCCATTTTCTGTATCTATCTCTCTCCTAAAATAACATAACTTATGTAATTTAAAATGACAAACACCGAGCCCATATATATTAAGAAATGAATGTAACTTATGCCACTCCCAAGTGCTGCTTCAAAACGTGCAAAATGCAACATAATGTAAGTACTTACAACCAAAAGCTTAAGTAAACTTCAATAGAAAACAACCTCTGCCTATTAAGCTTTCAGTTCCAATAGTGGGAAAGCAATAGAGCAAGACGAAATTAGAGATTTTTTTCACTCACCATCTTTCATAACCCGCAAACTGTTCCTATTATGCCAATTGCCAAACCATACATAATATAAAATCAAACCATTCTTTTTTCAGGAGAAACTTAATGACTGCCTTTATTAGTTTCAACCCAGTCACAGTAACCAGGACTTTTCTGAATACACTTTGCCTGATGCCCTAAGAATGAAGTATGATATATAGCAAGAACAAAAAAATAAAAAATATTAAATCCAAATTTTTGCAAGATCACTATAGACTAAGCAACATACAACAAAGACTAAGCAACATACAACAAAACCTTTACATAGTGTAGCCGTCCGTTGCAACAGATGTTGCATGGCAAGATTTTCTGCAAGCTCTCCCTTCACAACAAATGTCTCCAAGCATCCAACATAGGATGTTGGAAAAATATACAACCTCAGCAGTAATCCATCACTCTGATACAAGAACAATAATAGAAGCAAGCTACCCCAACAAATCCAAAAGAGGTGGCTGCTCAGCACGTGACTTGGGATGAGAGGACCGAGTGGTTGAAGCAGCTCCCCTCCCTCTTCCTCGTCCTCTACCTACTGTGGTTGAAGGGGGCGGTGCGAGTTTTGGTGCAATCTGTTCATTCTTGTTGGAAGAAAATATTGATCCAAGATCTGTGGACTTGATGTTATTATTATACGAAACGTTCGATGCTGGAAACTCATTATTTTGTTTTAGGAACCCAAGAGAATTCTGAGGTTCAAGGCCACTATTCAGACTACCGATGGTTGAACTAGCATTCCTGAAGTTCAAACTGACGGACTCTGCAGAACTTTGGGAACTAACAGACCAATTGTTGCTTGTTTGGAGACCCATATTGCTTGAAGTGCTTGCCATTGAATTAAACCCAACTTTGTTTAAGGGCATTCCTAAAGTACCATTGTTGGAAATTCCAGATCCACTAGATAATGAGCCACTAGGACGTGGAGGCCAATCAGCAAAAGGATCATCATCTTCAAGATTGGATGTGGATGACGTTTCTGCTGCTATTGTAGGCCTTTCAGTATCACCAAATTGTGGGGTAACACCAAAAGGTGCTCGAGGTGGCCACTCTACATCTACTGAGGGACATGACATGGTTGTCTGCTGATTAGATGCAGCAGATAAAGGTAAATGCTTTTGTAAAGATGTTACTTGCCCCACAGGATTGCCTGCCACAGATTGACTGGATGTATCAATAGAATTCTGGACAGAAGAGGCAGTTCCCTTTGTTTGGGGAACCCAATCTTCATCCCAAGTGGAGCTGCTTTTGTTTGAAGTAGAAACCATGTTGCTGCTTGTCCTCAGGGCTTCAGTTCGAAGACCATTAACCGCAGGAGATAGTTTTACCTCTGGGATTCCAGAATCAGTCACAGCCACACCACGCTTCTCTTCTATCTTCCTGCACAAGCACACAAAATTCAGGAAGAAATTCAAAGAGAAGTTTGTCAAAGATTAAGGAGAGACAGAAGACAAAGAAAATGACAAAAAGTAAAGAGGTGTTAATTTTTTATAAAAAAAATTACCGGAGCATATCCTTGACAAAGAGCATATATTTGGCAAACTGCTGAACGTTCAGTTGTTGAGCAGTCAGGAGGGGCATAAGCAATGGAAGAACATGCTCAGCAACAAATTCTACTCCATACTGAACAAGAGAAATCAAACAAAACTTAGCTACAGCTCCAAATACCATTAATTGTAGCAGTCAATGATTTAAAAAACTGCAATTCATATATCAGGCCCATCATTGCAAATATTACCTGCTTAAAAATAGAATTTGCAACCCCAAGGGTACACATAAGTGTTGGAGGAGAACGGTCAACAGCAGTACAGCGCTGAATAGTTTGCAAGATGTCCAGGACAGCATGTTTATCAAGTCGGCTAACCATTTCTCCTAGGCACAACAAAGCATTCACTCTAACCTGTCAAACCAAAGAGACAATTACAGATTACACCGAAACAACAGCACAAATAAACAAGGGCGTCAAACTCATAAATCCTACCTAGGATCAAACAAAAGAGGTAGAAAGTAGAAACGTAGAACATGGAATACAACATGAAACATAAGATCTTACCTATAATACGAAATTACATTCAAGAATATATATATTTAGGGCAGAATCAATTAGTTGGGATCAACGGTAGATGAACCCAAATAACAAGCAAGAAAAGATCAAGGGAACAGAACAATAAATACAAGAAAAAATAATAAAATAAATAAATAAATACAGGTATTTAATTAAAAAAATATTGTATTCATAAGGGAATGTGCATGCGTTAAAAGTTCGAGAGAAATAGAGGCAATAAGTAAAATAGGATAGAGTAGAGATGAAACTTTGAAAACTGCTAATAACTACCATTTAGTCAAATAACTGCCATAGTAAAAAAAACATCTATTTATTTTGGCTAAATTAGGGTTTGTGGGCTGAAAAGACACCAAATATATCATGTCAACCTAAGACATTCATCAGCATCAACATCATTTTTAACCCAAACTAGCTGGGGAACCTAAGGCATTGTAAACAAAATATTGACATACCGCAGCAATTGTTGTTTTAAGTGCTAATCCATGAACACGGGGTAAAATCACTTGTTTCACCAGCTGAAAGGAAGAAAAAAAATATCAGAAACTTAATAGAAGAAGAAGAGCAGTAGGGTTGTACAATAATATAAACCTCAAGGGGGTGATAAACATTAGGATAAGGGAGTAACAGAACACTTTCCAAATCTAAACCAGAGGAAGGCAAAGAGATAATGGACCAAAATGCTGAGATTTTCTGAATATTCTTTATTCTGATAATAGTCAACCAACAGAAACTTTTATGAAGGTAGATTAATAGAATCCTACCAATGTTTCAAACCAACCAATAGATACTCAAGCCATAACTTTTAGGGTTATTAATTATTAAAATATGATGCTTCCATCCATGAAAGAGACAATAGTTTCATATTATATGATTATGAAAAGTCCCTGTTAGAAGATAATGATATTACAGTTATTATCTTATTAATGTTGGGCTTGGGCTTGTACTACCAGTAATATCACTTGACCTGATTAGTAGTATAAATAGGTGCATTACTTTAGTGTATTTCAGTAACATCTTATTATCAATCTCATAATACATCATTAGCCTCCATTCTCTCATTCTCCTTTTCCATGCCTAAACCACAAGGCTATGTTTGCATATCTAATGATGGATGAAATGGAGTGGAAGAGGATGGAATGAAAAAAAATTACCATACCATTGTTTGGATATTTTATGATGGAATGGAGTAAAGTATCCATTTCATTGTTTGTGAAGTAAACAAAAAGGTAAGTGTTAGAATATAAGAAAAATATCTCATAATATCTTCATTGTATCTTAGAGTACAGTATCTTAAGATTATTTCTTAGAAATAGTTTTCTAATTTCTTTATATTTCATGATTTATTTAAGATTTGGAGTCCAGTATAAACAGGAATCAGTTTTTTTATAGTTTGTATAGCATCATAACACATTCTTCACAACAATATAAACATAATTTTGTTATTCTGAGTATTTGTTTTTCTCCCTCTAAATCTAAATCCTTATAATTTCAACCCAGAGCCCACTAATCGGTCACCAATATGAGCATTGCTGCAAAAAAATCTTTCACACACCATGCCTGGTGTCTTTTGTTTGCGTGTGAATCACACACGCAAGTGGCGTGCCTCCTCTGCCAACACGGGCAGTTCGCTTGCCACCTTTCTTATCTACAATTGTCATGCCGAAGGTACCATTCTGCTCATCAGTGTCTCCTAGTCTTGTTCCCAGGGTCAGAGGTCCAGTTCAGCCCATTGTTATCAATAGCGCTGCTTTTGCACGCTATACTGCAACTGTAGCGGGCACATCCACTATTGGCCGCTCCACTACGCTACACTTCATGGTTGCAGCTGTAGCAACCGTTATTGCGGCCAATCACAACGTTATTGTGCCGCTACAGGGAAGGAGTGCAAGTTGCAGTTTTTACTCTCCACATAAAGTTCTTATGTTATTTGTTAATACTACTCCTTTGCGAACTCCTTATGATATTATGCAAATGAAGATGGCATTCCTCTACTCCAGTTCAAGTTTTGTTCTAAAACTAGAGGACTCTTAATGCCTTATACAATGAAGATAGCATTCCTCTGTTTAGAATTTTATAATAATTCAAAATTGCACATCAAAATTAGTAAGCCAGAAATATTTGTACAAATTCTGGCTAAGTTTTTTGGATTTTTAGTACAATTTTTTCTGTGGTGTTTGATAAGTAATTAGTACACTATTTCATCGATGTTTTTAATCATTTATTTTGTATGTGGTAGATCTATATAACGTATTCATGCATAGCTGCACTACACCACTACCTGTTGTAGCGCTGTAGCGTTTTCAGGGTCGACCGCTAACAGCCGCTACCTGCATTTGATATTTGAAGTTCAGCCTTATTCAGATAGTGTCATTGACATCAGCACCTTTGGCACAGTTCACGTATTGTTCTCAGTCACAGAGAGTCTCTTTGTATGACATTGAAACTGTTCATTTATATGACATATTTTAAGCTATTTTCCATTAATTCTCTAAATCTTACAACTTGATAACCTTGGTATAAATAGGTGCATTAGGTTATTGTCTTTGAGTAACATCTGATCATCAATCTCATAATACACTTTTAGCTTTTATTCTCTCTTTTTCCTTTTCCTGGTCTAACCTTATTGAAAAGAGGTTTTTGTATATTGATATTGAATAAATTACATGAGTGAGTATTTATACAAGAAAGAATCGCTAAGAATGACTAAGCGATGACTAATCAATCCTATCACAATCCTAATCACAATCAATTCTAATCAATCACAATTAATCCTAATCAATCATAATCAATCCTAATCAATCATAATCAATCCTAATTAATAGGAAATAAAAACGGAAACATGTTTGAATTCTAATTTTCTACACTCCCCCTCAAGTTGGGAGGTAAATATTGATCATTCCCAACTTGCCAATCAAGTCTTCGAATGCTGGACGGTGTAGGCCCTTGGTAAGGACATCTGCTGTTTGCTCTTTGGTTGGAACATATATCAAATGCACACTTCCATCATCTAATTTTTCTTTGATGAAGTGACGATCAACTTCCACGTGCTTTGTTCGATCATGATGCACATGATTTTGAGCAATGCTAACAGCTGCCTTGTTGTCACAATATAGTTTTATTGGTAGGGAATATGAAATCTTCAACTCTTGAAGAAGTCTTCTCAACCAGATTCCTTCACAAACTCCATGAGCTAAAGCTCGAAATTCTGCTTCAGCACTACTTCTTGCAACCACTGTTTGCTTTTTGCTTCTCCAAGTAACAAGATTTCCCCACACATAGGTGCAATAGCCTGAGGTAGATCTTCTGTCTACTGATGAGCCTGCCCAATCTGCATCAGTGTAGATTTCAATTGTCCTTTTATACCCCTTTTTAAAGAATAATCCTCTTCCTGGAGTATTCTTGAGGTATCTAAGCACCCTATAGACTGCACTAAGATGCTTCTCCTTAGGTGAGTGCATGAATTGACTAATCATACTCACCGCAAAGGCAATGTCAGGACGCGTATGAGATAAGTAGATTAGTTTACCAACCAATCGCTGATATTGTTCTTTATCCACCTCATTCCCATCTTCAATACCTAACTTGGTATTAGGTTCCACAGGTGTCTCAGCAGGTTTACACCCTAACATTCCTGTTTCCAACAAAAGATCTAGAATATATTTCTTTTGTGTTAGAGTGATGCCTGTTTTGCTCCTAGCAACTTCCATACCAAGGAAATATTTGAGAGTGCCAAGGTCTTTGAGTTCAAATTGAGCTGCTAGAAATTTCTTCAAGGTGTTCAATTCCTCAATATCATCACCTGTAAGAATTATATCATCTACATATACAATAAGAATAGCAATTTTACCATCCTTAGAGTGTTTGTGGAAGAGAGTATGATCAGTCTGTGCTTGAATGAAGCCTATTCTTTTGACTGCTTGTGTGAATTTGTCGAACCATTCTCTGGGAGACTGTTTCAATCCATATAGAGACTTTTTTAGTTTACACACTGATCCATTTCCCTTTTCAAAACCAGGTGGAGGATCCATATAGACTTCTTCATGTAAGTCACCATTTAGGAATGCATTCTTCACATCTAACTGTTGCAGAGGCCAATCTAGATTGGCAGCAAGAGATAAGAGAACTCGGATGGTATTGACTTTAGCAACCGGAGCAAAAGTCTCATGATAATCTATCCCATGAGTCTGAGTGAAACCCTTTGCAACCAATCTTGCCTTGTATCTGTTGATGCTATTATCTGCATTGAATTTTATTGTAAACACCCATTTGCATCCTACTGCCTTTTTTCCTTTGGGTAGGGTCACTATCTCCCAAGTTCCATTTCTTTCTAAAGCATTCATTTCTTCAAAGACAGCATCCCTCCATTTTTTATCATTGAGAGCCTCATGTATATTTCTCGGTATCTTTGTACTATCCAACATAGTATTGAAAGCACGAAACCCTGGGGACAACTTTCCATATGAAATATGATTAGAAATAGGATGAGTAGTACAAGATCGAGTACCTTTTCTGAGAGCAATGGGCAAGTGTAGATCATTTTCACCATGACACTCAAGTATTGGGGTGCTGGAACTAGAACATGGTTCAGAATCCTGGCAGTGTAGAGGCTCTGGGTTATTCACACTTTGAGGAGGCTTTCGCCTGCTATAAACTTGTCCCCATTTTGAGGAGGCTCCTGATGGTGAGGATTCTGTAGCTCCCCCTGTTTCCAAAAGTAGAGGTAATACTGTGGCATTAATAGGTTCCCATGACTGATCTTCATCTACTCCTATAGACTCCCCCTGAAGAGAAGTCGAGGGGAAGAAAGGGTCATTCTCAGAAAAAGTGACATCCATAGAGACAAAGACCTTACGAAGAGAGGGTGAATAACACTTATAGCCACGTTGAGTAGGAGAATAACCAATAAAGACACACTAGAGAGACTTAGGATCAAGCTTAGACCGTTGATGGGAGGGAATATGGACAAATACAACACAACCAAATAACTTGAGAGGTAAGGAGGAGACACCTCGGAAGGAAGGGAAGATACGAACAAGACTAGAAAGAGGAGACTGAAATTTCAGAATGCGAGATGGCATTCGATTTATCAGATACGAGGCAGTGAGAACTGCCTCTCCCCAAAGATATTTAGGAACACTCGTGGTAAACATAAGAGCCCGAGCAACTTCAAGGAGATGTCGGTTTTTTCTTTCCGCAACTCCGTTTTGTTGGGGTGTGTCAGGACACGAGCTTTGGTGAAGGATGCCATGTTGGGGAAGATATTCTCCAAGAATAGAGTTAAAATACTCTTTGCCATTATCTGTACGAAGAATTTGTATAGCAACTTGGAATTGGGTTTGAACCATGGCATGAAATTTTTTAAACACGGATGCAGCATCGGACTTATCCTTTAGAAGATACACCCAACAAACTCGAGAATGGTCATCAATGAAGGTAATGAACCATCGAGTACCTGAAATATTTTTAACACGGGCTGGACCCCATATGTCGCTATGAATTAAGGAAAATGGGGAAGAGTCATGGTGAACTTTAGAAGGATAATGAGCACGAGTATGCTTGGCAAGTTGACAAATATCACAAGAAAACAAACTTGGACTTTTATTAATAAATAAGTTTGGCAACAACTTCTGAAGATAAATAAAATTTGGATGGCCTAGCCTACGATGCCACAGCATAACATCATTACATGAATCAAAAGGAAACATAGAGTTTTTTTCTACGAAAACAGCTTCATGAGTCACATCCTCCTCAAAGTAGTAAAGTCCACCATCCTCTCTACCACTGCCAATCATCCTCTCCGAGTCCTGTTCCTGAAAAACACAACCATGTGGAAAGAATTTAGCAAAGCAATGCAACTCAGAGGTGAGCTTGCTAATGGAAATGAGATTACAAGTCAGAGAAGGAACATAAAGAACTGATGTCAAAGTAATCAGCTCAGAAAGTTTAATGGTTCCGTGTCCCGCAATCTGGGAAAAACTGCCATCGGCGATCTTGACCCGAGAAGGTTCAGAATATGGAGTGTATGAACAAAACAAGCCAAGATTACCTGTCATATGATCAGAGGCTCCAGAATCAAGGATCCAATGATTTTGACTATCAACATGGAAAGTTGTACCTTGCTGGACCACATGACTAGTGGCCTTAGGAGGTTGCTCGTGGTAATAAAAAGAGTGTTTTGAGGAAGCCATGAATAAAAAGAGAAGGGTTGACCGTTGATGAAAAATCAAGTTTTGTAAACTTTTGATCTGACCTCTGGAACAGGAAGGGGAGAAGCCGCGAAAAGGTCTGTGCAAGTCGCGACGGAAAAAAAACGTCTGGAAGGCGGCGCGTGGTGGCACGTGCAGCGGCTGACGGCGATGGGTCCAGCGGCGGTCGACTCGTCGAATCCTTCTGAGTCGAATGGTCACCTCACTTTTTTGATCGGAGGTCAGTAAACTAGGTTTCTGTGTTGGACAGATTCAAGGCGGTGTTTAGGAGGTGTTTGACGGTGATGGAAGTGTTTGGATGGTTATTTCAGATTTGAATTAGGGTAGGAACGAACCCGCTCTGATACCATATTGAAAAGAGGTTTTTGTATATTGATATTGAATAAATTACATGAGTGAGTATTTATACAAGAAAGAATCGCTAAGAATGACTAAGCGATGACTAATCAATCCTATCACAATCCTAATCACAATCAATTCTAATCAATCACAATTAATCCTAATCAATCATAATCAATCCTAATCAATCATAATCAATCCTAATTAATAGGAAATAAAAACGGAAACATGTTTGAATTCTAATTTTCTACAAACCTAAAAGTTTCAATAGTCCCCAAAAACTTCAAACATTGAAACAAGAACTTGAAATTGGGCAATCCAAGTTCACAAAGTACTCAATAGAAAACGTGTTATTTTAAAACAACTTAAGCCTACTCAATAATCAGAAGAAGTACCACAAGAAAATAGCACTCACCTGGGCATCAAGTTGCTTCGCAAGGGAAACAGATTTTTTAAGGACCTCTTCTTGCAAACGAGAATCATTATCATCATAGGCCCGAACAATCATTGGAAGAACATGTGAAACTAAATGCTGTTGACTAGTCTAAATGAACAATGAAAGATGTAATAAGTTAGAATAAGCATAGTCACTAGACACACGATTCTTCTATCATCAAAATAAAGAACTCTATACAAACTTACAATACCTTGTTTATTATAAGCTCAGCGTGCTTCACAAGTAGTAACAGTGTCTCACCAGCAGCAGTACTCAAGACAGGGACAAGGGCTGGCAGTGTTGATTGCTCAAAATCATTCTTGTCCTGAAAAATAACATAGAATTTTTTTCTTCTTTGTCTTACTGAATTTCTTTTTTATCAAAAAACTAAAAAAATTTAGAAAGCATATTATGCGTTAATTATTGATGAATTAGGTAAAAAATCTGGATTAATGTAAAAGTTTATGAGCATCACATGCACGAAATATGCTTTCAATACCACTATGAATTTTGTGAAATATTTACCCTGCAAAAGAATATCTGTTAGTGCATGATTGATTTCGATTTACAATGCTGTCAACACCAGCACTTTGATTAATATTTTAGGCATTCTATGGAAGTGATGAAAAGAGAGAGGATAGTACCTGAGACTCCGCAATGGTTAGAACCATTGGTAGAATAATTGGTTGTATCACCACATTTCTAAGTTCTGCACAAAGTGGGGGAAGGACCTGCATGGAATTTATTTCTCTAAAATACATTCATGACAAATAGTAAAAGAATAACTCAAAATTCAATTGGATTCAGAGTAAAGGAACATGAGCATTTTAATCTCGTATTTGGGGAAAATTAGGGTAACATGAGTGTAACATATGTGACTCAATCTCAAAATGCAAGAAAGATTGGGAGACCATATTGTCATACTCCACTTAGGTCAAACCCATAATCATCAAACCTATAGGACACAAGACTAAGTAATTAATGGAGCAGAGAAAGAGAACCGAGACAAAATTGACCAGCAGGAGTAAATTAAACCGCACATAAAATACACAGTCATAGGCGAACAGCATACCTTGTATCGTAATACACGGGAATCAAAATCTTTCCACATATCTGACAATGCTTTTAAGAAGTCTGACTTCTGCATGTTATCTCTTTCCTGAAGGAGAAGTTACAACATAGATTTCAACTATGAATTCTGTATGTTATCAATTTTGTGATGCTAACAAGCTAAACTAAAAATTCTTACAAGCATGTGATCAAGAAAGCGCAAAGCACGCAACCTAGTGTCATTCCGAAAAAATGGTGAGCCTGCAAAAATGAGGGGTGTCTATCCTTTAAAGATTATAATAATAATCATAATAATAAAGGAGCCACGAAAAACAGCAATTGAGCAACATAGTAATATTATGTGCAGGGACCATATGAAGGATCCAACAGCAGTGGACCATATGAAGGATCCAACAACAAGCAGAGACGCTGTCTTAATTGCAGTGGTCAATGGTAACCATTTGATTAATGAGTTACTTAATCCTGAAGAATTACACATGCAATCTGATGCAACCCAGCCCAACCAACCCAAGCCCAATCGGGTATACAAGAGGGACAAGAGTAGAAGGGTACAGATTACACCTGAGGCTGCTGATCAAGGAACAACTGAGGCTGCTGATCAAGGCCCAATCAACAAAGGCCCTGTTGCTGATGCTGACTCAGCAATTCTGTTGCAACCGAATGAGGGAACGCCATAGAATGTGCGTGGGGAGGATAAATGAAGGCTGATGATGTGAGAGAGAAGGATCGAGAACCTGAATTGAGAACTTGGACCTTGGGAGAGAGTGGAGCCTCTCCGACTGCTTCACAACTATCATTTCCTTTCTGCTTGTAATTTCAATTTCAGCATTTTTGTTGTTTGATTTGTAATGAGAGAGTTGAGCTATATGACTCTGTAATTTCCTTTATAAGCTTGTTATTGTTGTTGAAACTGAAGCTTGTATTACTGTAATTCTGTTTCTGGTCAATTTATAATCAATATAGTTGCAATTGGTGTTATTGCTCTACTGTTTTAGTGTGATTGTGAACTGGTCCGTATCACAATCCAAGTCAAATCTTCTGACACACCAACACCCGATATGGGTTAGCAATTCATTTTAGTTTTATATAATGAGAACTTAAACTACAACACCATTTTGAGCCACCCTTGTAACTCGAGATATTAAGAGGAGATCTTCAATAAGTTCAAAAACAAAAGAGTTTGATGTTCGATCCGAGATCACGGACTAAGAGTTTGCTATATGGTCTGATTGAGAGTGCCCAAGTAAAGGTTCAGAGCTGGCCTCCTTCGTGTACTATCCATGATGCTTGTGCAATGTGGGGACTTGAGCGTCAATTGGGTGATACAGTCGGAGTGAGGAATATTGCTAGGGTTCAAAAGAAGAGTCTACTTGAAGGGAGGATCTTGCATTTATAGGGAGGAATGTTGCTATCTACGTGGAGTGTTAGGCGCATATTCCCTAACTTTGCAGGATCCTATTAGGTGATTACGTAGGGGAAGGTTGAGTTGGGGCGAAGAGAACTGGACACTAGTTGTGCGACGCAATGTGTGGGTCCAAAACAATTGTCCCCCCGGCCCAATATATCGCTATGTCAGAATGCCAAGATATGAAGCTGGAATCAATTTTCTAACTGGATCATAGGAATTGGTTCAAGGTGGCTTGAAGCACATAGCAAGTATCTTGTAGATGATAGGGACATCTTGACTCATCCTCAAGGCGACCAAGATGCATGTAGTAGCCCAATTGTTGGGGACTTGGGTCTTACTTTGGGGTGCTTTGGTGCCAATATCAGGCTTGGGAGCCGACTTGCTCTTGATTCAAGGTTGTTCGATGTAATTCAGAGTGACTTTGACATGACCATTGTCTCTTGACGTCCTATCGTTTGTTAGGGGACACATGGCCGCCCCAGCTCTAAGGACGTTTGGGTTTCAGGTTGTAATGATGGGAAGTTGACAACAGTTACAGTACATCATTAATTGTTGTTTAAAAAGACTCTCCTACCCCTATCATTTGGCTCCTCTTTTAAAGTGGGGGTCTTGTCCCATGAGCATCCTCTCACATTTTTTCCTCAGTTTTGTCAAGCTTCTAGGTTTCCAGAGGAGTTTTCTCTCCATGTTTTCTCACACCTTGCGTCCTTTTTTGTTGAATCTCCTTTCTTTTGCGTGGCTGCAAGCAGCATCCATTGTGTTCTCCGTTTCAAAACACTCCAGTTCTCTTCTTTTCCATCAAACAAGGTACCCCCTCGATCTTTTTGCTTTTCACTATTAGGAGATGATTAAAGATTAATCTTTTGGTACGGTCATTCAGCAAGGTGGAGGCAGGGGGAGTGAACTAAAATTGTCTTCGCGGGTAAAGTGGTGGTCGTTTAGGGGCCCCAAGTCGCCATTTGCGTCCCTCACAAGGTGGTCGTGGGGAGCAACAATAATCACATTGATTTGTCCAAGATTAAGTTGATAGAGTATCCAGATTTGTGATTGAACACTTGGAACTTTATCCTTCTTCATCAATATTACTCAGTTTATTCAATATTGGGTTTGAAGTGCTTTGTTCATTTCATGGCCATTTGTGAGCAGGGATGTGATTTTGATGGTAAGTTAGTTAAAATCATATGTGTATTGAATAATGTTGGTTAGCAGATTTATGTACAAATCTAGCTAAGATAGTTGCAATAATGTTTCTTATCTTGCATAAACCCATTTTGAACTAGTACCCAACTGATTTCTGATTTTACATTTTACATAGGGATATGATAATTAAAATAAGGGAAGAAAAATACAAGCAGATTGGAAAACTCTTGTATACACTGATGTTCTAGTTAACTGGATAATATTAAAGTTGAAATTGCTAGAGCAATCCTGGTGTTAGGTTGCAGAAAAGGAGAAACTGATACACAGTCATCCCAGTCTCTGATTGATTCAATAAACATTGTTAATTTGCATTTTCTTTATTTAGTCAGCCAATTTAAAGCTTTAATCACTTACGGCAATTGATCACTTCAATTGTGCTTTCTTTATTTTGAATGCAATCAGTAGTTGAGCTTGTGCAATGACCAAATTTTGTTAATTTTCTGTGGCACAATACTCTTACAATTTATTACTTGTTTATTACACATGCACTTGTGTATATGATGTACCTGCACCATTGTACAAGAGGAAAAAGGGGAGAAAGAGCGACCAACAAGCAGCAAAAATAGGTGATGAAGTGGCTGATGAGTTGGCTGTGCAAGTAAATGATGAGGTGGAGGTAAGAGATAAAATGGCTGATGAGTTGGCTGCACAAGAGCATGTTGATATTTGATGTTTAAGATAATAATGTGAATGAACGATATCAGATTGATATTTGATGTAATATAATACAAAGTTAACACCTATATATTTACTATTGTACTATTACTAGAACTAGCCTAGACCAATAAAACTACTAACCTATGAGACTCCTAACACTAACAGTCCTAATATTCTTAGTTCTAACAGCTCCTAACAATTGCCTATAATTCATGTCATCAATTGTGAAGTTTAGATTTATTACTCCTCGTCACATCTGACATGATCAAGACCTTCGTCCTCAGATCAGACACCAAATTTTTTAATTAATGAACCCCCATTAAATTTTTGTTTGTAAGAAACTCCACAAGAAAATCCTTTAACTGTGATGTCATGCCTGTTTTTATTTTTCATTCAAGGAATAAAAAACAAGTATTGATTTGCCAAACTATCTTTACCTGTAAAATCCATCGCTGTTGGCCTGGAAGACTCATTTGGAGAGAGCATCCTTTGCAAGTCAGGAACCAGTTCCGATGGGATCGATGAGAAAGCATCACTGGATAAGTAAGTCAAGGTATTTGTGTACTGCACAAGTACAAAACAATATGAAAGAGTAAGCAATTTCATTTATCATGGGCAAATCCAATTGGATGTGTGGCATCTGGTCAAATGTATTCAACCATTTACAAAAATATATTCTCTCTTTAAGAGACTAGACACATGCAATCATTACCATGAATGCCTATTTAGAAAAAATTTGAAAGAACACCTATAACTTTAAAGCCATTGTAACTTATTTTTAGCATTGACTTCAATTATTGCACTACAGTGGTATTTTAGTACTTTAACATATTTAAAATGACAACCCCAGAATACATGATACTAGCAATTATGTTGCTGACTAGTAAAGCAACACAACAACCTAATTGCCAATAACACAAGCTTGAAAAAACCATTAGATGGAAAATATCTTATTACACATTCAATTCCAGCAAATATAAAAACACAAGATTCAATCTGGGCCACAATAAACCTCTTTCCACAAGTTGTCCTGGTTAATGTTTCTTTTCCAGACATCAATCTTATTTGTTTCAGATACCACAACCAGTCTATGAAAAGGTAGACAAAAGGATTTATATATACCATCTTCAAATTGTTGTGGCAGTCAAACAAAGGCTTGCGAGCAATTAAATGGTGGGCAAGGCATCCAAAACTGAAAATATCAGAAGAGCACCCAGCTGAAGACATAGAGCTCCTCACCAGCTCAGGAGCAGTGTAATTAAGTGATGGCTGAAGCGGCAAAACAGAGTCCTCAACATCATATTCCTATAAAGCAGTCACATTGAAATAAGATACATGTCAGTTCAGCGAAATCTACTTCGCTGCTGAGGATGAGAATAAGATACAAATATAAAATAGTACAATTTGTCATTTAAACACTTAGAAATAGCTTTTTGACCTTCTTAAAAATCATAGTGAGATGCGGATATTGCAAATATAATCAAGAAAAGCATATGTAGCAAGGAAAAGGGATGCAGAATCATGTGCCAAGAAGAATATTCACCGGGGTAAAATTACAAAAATATAGAGACATATCAAAACCAAAGTATATAAGGTTACAAGAAGTTAAAGCTTAAGCAGAAATTTGTAGCTAAGAAGAGGATCAAAGGAAAAATGATGATGACGGTGATGGTGAAAACAAACAAAATATGCAAAAGAATTGCACTATACAAGGTTATATGATTGGTAATATAACATGAATATACCAAATACATATCAAAGATCTATAGAGAATCAGAGATGAGCAAATATTATAAAGATAAATGAATAAATAGGCAACATATGCAACCGTAAGTTCATGTCAATATTAGGGTATTTAACACATAAAAGATGTCAAGCAAACAAATAAACATAGTAAATCCTAATCATCTCAAATGTCCCACTCACAGCATAATGGAAAGCTTGAACGTTAGATGAGTCACCAGAGATCTGAGAAGCAGAAATAGCAAAACCAAATCCAGCAAGTTTCCAGGCTCCACTCAAAGTGATAAGAATATTCTGCAAAGTATAAAATTTGTATTCAATAAACCAATTTGAAATTTTATGATAGTGGAACAGAAAAGGACTAGTACCGAAGGTTAACTAGCAAAACAAAAAGGAATACATATCAACTGTGATGGATACAAAAAGATGCATAAGCAAAATTTCCAAAGAGAAAACATATTTATAAGATTATATGAGATTCAGAAATACATAGATGCCTCAACGATACAAGGAAATCTCCCAAACAATGATTTGTTATATACCATTTCTAATTAGATGCCACTCACTGGTATTATTCATGTAGAATATTCTAGATTATCATTTATTACTTCCTCGCTATTTGTTCCCTTATTTATTAATGTCTCTTGTTATTGTAAATAAGCCTCTTAGTTTACTGTTGCTATTTATTAGCATTGTTCTTTGTACTCAATATAAATAGGACCTATTGGGTCTCTCAATGTAATCAATCAATAGTGTTATACAGAAAAACACTCTTTCTTTTCATCATGGTATCAAGAGCTGGTTAAAATCCAGTCTCTTCCCTGTTCTAACTTCCCTTCCATTCTTTTTTTTCGTTTTTTGCCTCTGTCAAGGCCAGAACCCTCACCTAGACACCTCCAACCACAAAACCAAGGCCACCATTAGGTCCAGAACAAAATTCCGAGCCAGCCAACACAAGACCCGACGCCGGAGACCCAGCCACGCGCCACCAACATCCTTCAGCTTCGCCGGCGCGTGTGGTCCACACGCTGCCCTCCCATCATTTTTTTCCGGCGGGTCATACCCCGTTCTGATCGTCTGCCTTCCCTCTTCCTGTTTTGAGGGTCAAAATCATATTTGGAGGAATTTTGTTTTCTGGGTATTGTTGTTAGGAAGCCATGGACACTGAAAATGTTGAAAATTCATCTGGAGTTTCGACTGGAACCTCACCCCTTCCCATTTCTTCGTCTTCTGGAGACAACCCAGCAATGCAGATCACCAATCACCGTTTAAACGGTAGAAACTATGTGCAATGGTGTCAATCTGTTAAGTTGTTTATCCAGGCCAAAGGGAAGATGGGGTATCTGGATGGAAAAAAGGTTCAACCAGCAGAACATGAACCTGGCTATGATGCTTGGGTGACTGAAAATGCTATGGTCATGACATGGCTGACTAATTCTATGGAACCGGATATCAGTCAAACTTATTTATTCCTTGATACGGCTCAAGAAATTTGGGAAGCTGTTAAAGAATACTACTCTGACCTGGGCAATGCCTCTCAGGCTTTTGAACTCAACACCAAGGTGAAAGATTTACGCCAAGGAGGGATGACTGTTACTGAATACTTCCTTGCTCTAAAAACATTGTGGCAAGAGTTGGATCTTTATGACAAAGCAGACCTTCAAGGTTTAGACGCTAATGCAATATTCAAAAATTATATAGAGAAAAGGCGTCTCTATGATTTTCTTGCTGGCCTTAATTCTGATCTGGATGATGTTCGTGGAAGAATTTTGCGGCAAAACCCATTACCTTCCATTGCCACTGCCTTTTCTGAGGTACGAAGGGAGGAGCTTCGCCGAAAGGTAATGTTGGGTGATAAGGACTCTAAGTCCTCTGATGGGTCAGCCCTTATAACAAAGAATACTGCTCGTCCTTCTGGGGGCTCAAAACGTTCTGACCGTTGGTGTTCTCATTGCAATAAGGGTGGTCACACCCGTGAAAAATGTTGGGAAATTCATGGCAAACCACCAAACTGGAAACCAAAAGGACAGAACAAGAATCGTGCTAATCAAGTATCTTCTGAAGATAAGGGGGAGGGGTCTCATGTCCCTTCAAACCCCGATGGTGTTCTCCTCTCTAAGGCCCAGTATGAGCAATTTCAGAAATTGATGTCTCAACCTGCTGAGGCAACTAGTCATGTTGCTCAAAAAGGTATGGCATTCCATGTTGAACGTAGTAATCGTTGGATCCTTGATTCAAGGGCCTCTGATCACATGACAGGTAATGCAACCTTATTTTCCTCCTATACCCCTTACTATCACCCGTCACGAATAAGAACAGCTGATGGAAATTTCTCCACTATTGCGGGCAAGGGATCCATTAAACTTTCTGAACATATTATTTTGAACTCAGTCCTTCATGTTCCCTCCCTTACTTGTAACCTCATCTCTATTAGCAAATTTACTGCTGAGTTGCATTGTGTTGCTAAGTTTTCTGCAAATGCTTGTATCTTTCAGGAGCAGGACTCGGGGATGATGATTGGCAGTGCTAGAGAGGAAGAAGGGCTATACTATTTGGAGGAGGATCTTTGTGAAAGGAGGATTTTTTCAAACCACTCTCTATGTTTATCATATGATTGTAATGATGTTTTGTTATGGCATCGTAGGTTAGGGCACCCAAGTTTTGTTTATCTTCAAGAGTTATTCCCTAACTTATTTATCAATAAAAAGCCAAGTTCCTTTCTTTGTGATATTTGTCAGCTTGCAAAACATTCTCGTGTCACTTATTCTCCTAAGAAATATCATGAATCTTCTCCCTTTACATTGATTCATAGTGATATTTGGGGACTTGCTCGTGAAAAAAATGTCTCGGGTGCTCGTTGGTTTATTACTTTCATTGATGATCATTCTAGGGTATGTTGGGTATATCTCTTAAAAGACAAGTCTGATGCGGCATCCACTTTTAAAAATTTTCATGCTATGATTCAAACTCAATTCCAGACTCCTATCAAAATTCTGCGAACAGACAATGGCACTGAATATTTTAATTCTGTTCTTGGAGATTACCTAAACCAGCATGGAATTATTCATCAAAGTTCTTGTCCTAACACCCCTCAACAAAATGGGGTGGCTGAAAGGAAAAATAGACATCTAATTGAAGTTGCTCGAGCTCTCTTATTCACGATGCATGTCCCTAAATATCTGTGGGGGGAAGCCATCTTGACAGCTTCTTATCTCATTAATCGAATGCCTTCTCGGGTACTAAATTTTCATTCTCCTTTATCTTGTCTTACTAAATCTTTTTCTTCTTTCTGTGCTCTTTCTCTTCCTCCAAAAATATTTGGCTGTGTGGTCTTTGTACATATTCCTCCACATCAAAGGTCCAAACTTGACCCTAAATCTATTAGATGTGTCTTCATAGGATATTCCCCTAATCAAAAAGGCTATAAGTGTTACTCACCTTCTCTCCGTAAGGTCATTGTTTCCATGGATGTTACCTTTTATGAGACACAATCCTTTTTTTTCCCCGACTTCTCTTCAAGGGGAGTCTACTGGTATGGATGAAGATAAGCCTGGGAAACCCAATGAAGCTGCTGTCTTACCTTGGCCTTTGGAAACAGGGGGAGTTATTGGGAAGGAAACAGGGGTAGCAACTATACCTGAGTCTAATGATCCTCCCAGTCCTTGTGATCCTCCTGGTAAATGGGGAAAATTCTACAGCAGGCGCAAAACACATCAAGAGACTCTAGACTGCCAGGATCCTGACTCGAGTCCTTGCTCTAGCAACCCACTTGAATGCACTAGCACAGCCAACATTGATATGCCCATCGCCCTTCGGAAAGGTACTAGATCTTGCACTGCTCATCCTATTTCCCATTATATCTCATATGAGAAGTTATCTACAGGTTTTCGTGCTTTCAACACTATGTTAGATAGTACCAGGATACCCAAAAATATCCAAGAAGCACTTGATGACCCAAAATGGAGGAACGTCGTATTAGAAGAAATGGATGCACTTATAAAAAATGGAACATGGGAGTTTGTGACATTACCTAAAGGAAAGAAAACTGTTGGTTGCAAGTGGGTGTTCACAATAAAATTTAATGCAGATAACAGCATCAACAGGTATAAGGCCAGATTAGTTGCTAAGGGATTTACTCAGACTCATGGGATTGATTATCAGGAGACATTTGCTCCTGTTGCCAAGCTTAACGCTATCCGCGTTCTGCTATCTCTTGCCGCCAACCTTGATTGGCCATTGCAACAGTTAGATGTCAAGAATGCCTTCTTGAATGGTGATCTACATGAGGAAGTTTACATGGATCCACCTCCTAGTTTTGAAAAAGGGGATGGTTCTGTGTGCAAGTTGCAGAAGTCTCTCTATGGACTTAAACAATCTCCCAGAGAATGGTTTGGGAAATTTACTCAAGCTGTTAAGGGAAGAGGGTTCACCCAAGCTCAGACTAATCACACTTTATTCTTTAAACACTCTGACAAAGGTAGAATTGCTATCCTCATTGTTTATGTTGATGACATAATTGTCACTGGTAATGATACCGAGGAGATAGCCTCTTTAAAAAAATGTTTAGCTGATCAGTTTGAACTAAAAGATCTTGGATCTCTCAAATACTTCCTTGGCATGGAAGTTGCTCGAAGTAAGGAAGGAATTTCCTTAACCCAGAAAAAATACATTCTAGACCTGTTGCAAGAAACAGGTATGCTTGGGTGCAAGCCAGCAGAGACTCCAATTGAAGCTAATATCAAGATGGGAGTTGAGGACGGGGAAGATGTTGATAAGGAGCAGTACCAGAGACTAGTGGGGAAATTAATCTATTTGTCTCACACTCGTCCTGATATTGCTTTTGCTGTAAGCATGGTTAGCCAATTCATGCATTCTCCTAAGGAAAAACACCTTAGTGCTGTTTATAGAATTCTCAAGTACCTCAAAAACACCCCTGGTCGAGGAATTCTCTTTAAAAAGGGGAACAAAAGGATGATTGAAGTTTATACAGATGCAGACTGGGCTGGCTCTGCAATGGACCGAAGATCTACTTCAGGATATTGTACTTATGTCTGGGGAAACCTTGTGACCAGGAGAAGTAAGAAACAAACTGTTGTTGCAAGAAGCAGTGCAGAAGCGGAATTTCGGGCTTTAGCCCATGGTATTTGTGAAGGAATTTGGTTAAGAAGGCTTCTGGAAGAGTTGAAGATCTCTTATTCCCTACCTATCAGATTATATTGTGATAATAAAGCTGGTATCAGCATTGCTCAAAATCCTGTCCATCATGACAGAACAAAACATGTGGAAGTCGATCGTCACTTTATCAAAGAAAAATTAGAAGACGGTAGTGTATGCTTGTCATATATACCTACCAAGGAACAAACGGCAGATATTCTCACCAAAGGTTTACTTAAGCCGACCTTTGAGGATTTGATCAGCAAGTTGGGAATGATCAATATATATCTCCCAACTTGAGGGGGAGTGTAGAATATTCTAGATTATCATTTATTACTTCCTTGCTATTTTTTCCCTTATTTATTAATGTCTCTTGTTATTGTAAATAAGCCTCTTAGTTTACTGTTGCTATTTATTAGCATTGTTCTTTGTACTCAATATAAATAGGACCTATTGGGTCTCTCAATGTAATCAATCAATAGTGTTATACAGAAAAACACTCTTTCTTTTCATCAATTCATTTACCAGAACCTCCCTTCTATCAAAAGAAAAACTATTTACAGCATACCAAGAGGTGAAGGAAAAAATAACTAAGTCAAAGTAATGAAAAGAATTCATCATCATCACCTTTATCACAATCTCGTTGGGGTCAGCCATTGACGAACGAAACAAAAAGCAAGAAAAAATTGAGAAAATAGAAAAATAACTAAGAGAGAATAAATAAATAAACAAATACATAAAATCACTCCTCGTTAAACCCCGACTCGCGAGGGATGTGGTGAAAGAAATCATTGTCTACACAACCTCACTCTTATACTTTTGCCAAGAGATTAATTCATGGAATTGAACCCGTGACCTCTCAGTCATCAAGATCTAATTTTACCACTGCTTAGGCTCATCCTCTTTAAATAAATAAATATAGGAAATTATGACTAAAATTTACGGTCAAGACTTAGGAAATAACAAGACTGCATCTCCATAATGCCAAAAACTTCCCTCCACTCTATCACAGTCAACCTATTTCCCACTCCATTAAGTCTTAGTTTCTGGAGACTTTTTCAGTTTTTCCCTCTCTTTGTGTGTCATGCTCTTTGTTAACAAACTTTTGTTCTTAAAGTAATGAAAATGATTATTATAAAAAAATAAAATAAAATAAGCTATCACCTCAGGTGATATAGCTCGATGAATAAGATGAGCATGGTTGTGAAGAAAGTCCAGCGATTCTGCCATCTGAAGTAAACCATGCTTCACCTCCAACAGTCCCATTTCCTGCAACGCAAAAGCTTCTTCTAATAATACAGCATTCCACAAAAAAGGACTAGATCAAACGAACTAGTGGATCACGCAATAAAATAAAATGAATTTTGTGATTTACTATTATAGCGAATTCGTTCAAATTACCATTCCCCTAAGGTCTTTAGGAACATTAGGAACATTATCAAGATTGCCAAGAGTATTAGCAACGGAAGCAAACAAGGGTTCGGTAACCATAGCCATTGCATTCTTGCTCTCATCCAACGCCTGCACCACATGAACCACGCCAGGGTGTCTCAGCCGCACGAGCTTACTCGCATCCGTTCGAATCAAATCCAAAAACGAATCCTCCGCGGCTTTGGTGAGCCCGGCACGCATTCGCGCCTCCGAGAGGGCCCGCTTGTCCAATACCCACACACACACAACAGGATACTGGTGCTGCCGCGACGGATCACGGGCCCGGCCCGAGTACAGCCTCCAGGCGAGGCCGGGCCCTGCTGACCCGATCTGATCGAGGATCTCGTAGTCGTGAAGTGGCTTCGGGCCTGTCACCTCCTGCACCGTCGTCTGGACAGTCTTCTCAATCACCGCGGCGGTCTTCGCAAATGCTTGGGTTAGGGTTTTCATGTTGAGCGACATTGTTGTTCCCTCGCAATAACAGAATGTGAATAACGAGACGAATTTGAGAGGGTTTGAAGATGGATTTGAGATTCAGACGTGTGCCCCTGACGACGACCAAGTTCCACTTCTCTTTCTCTTTCTTCCTTCCTTCCTTCCTCTTTCTCTTTCTAATTTTTCCGTGTTTCTAAGTCGTCTTCGTTAAACAGCCATGGAAGGAAATTGGACGTACGATTTGACCTTTACTCAGTATAAATTAATAATAATAATTACGGGAAATATAAGTGTTACGGTTACACGAAAAATCTCTATTTTCCTACCCACTCAATATAGCATAGGATCCACTTCAACTTTTTTTTGTTTTTTTACTTTACAATGGGGCCCACAGTATTTTTGTGTCTGTAACATGACACAGTTGCATGACAAACTATTATCTCTTACAAAAAAAGAAAGAAAGATAGATTAAGGTTTTTAAAGATCTCTCTTTTAAGTGTTAAGCATGTAACACATTTTCTATACAATTGGAGGACATACTCCCTTATTAATAGATAAAAAAATGGAAGAAAATAATTATAAAAATAAGCTGTGTCTTGAATTAGGATTTTAAAAAAAAATTGAGATAATAAATCTTATGAATTTTAAAAGACTATTTAGAATTTGAAAGACTTTAAAAACTTTTAAAAAAAAAAAATTTACAATCAAGATTTCATACTATTGAATTTTAAAGGATTTTAATAGAATTTATAAAATTTAAAAGGACAATATGGATTTATAAGATTTTAAAAAATCATATGAATTTTGGGAGAGATTATACTTACTACCTCTTTTTCTTATTATCTCTTACTACCAAATCTTGACCGTTGATTTCCGTCAATCTAACGGTTATAATTTATTGAAAATTAATAATTAATTCATAAGTATGACACAATAAATTATAACTGTTAGATTGACGGAAATCAACGGTTAAGATTTAATAATAAGAGGTAGTAAGAAAAAAGGTAATAACTATAACCTTCCCTATGAATTTTTAACAAATATTCAAAATTATAAGAGTTAATAAAAAAATAATAGAGTTTACAGGAAAAAAACAAAGAAATGCAATGATATTAGTAAAAAAAAAGTAAAACATAATATAATTTTCTCAATCAGCAAAACATAATATAATTCTTAATAAACATTCAAAATTACTAAGCAACAGCTCTCCACATATCTAAAGTTATACTAGTCTTCGACGCATTAGCATTTTCTCGTTCCTGGTATTGTGTTTGACCAATGGGTTGAAAATTATCTTTTTCTTTTGGTATCAGAGCTATAAATATAAGATTATAAGACCCAATTTTTTTAGTTATTAAAATAATTCTAAATTTGCATATAGAACCTAAAGTTCATGATAAAATTTCGTTTGAAATTTTTTGCAATTGATCTTGGAAACCTTGGGGTTTTTGTTTTACGTGATGAGAGTTTTCTAACCATATATCATATGCATGTTTTTATTGAGTATTCTAAGAAAATTTCGAATCTAAATTTCTGGGTTTTATTACATGAATGTTTAAAAAATTTCTCAAATTATTTTTAATCGATACATTGAAACCTTAAATTGCTTTAGGGCTATTGAAAAACAAGTTTTTAGTTATCTATTGAAACGGAAATTATTTGAAATCATTTCTTATAGCGAAGGAATTTAGTTCATGAATGTATTGTTACAAAATATAGGGTTCATATTATGAAAGTTTCAATTTTTCTTTAAATTGATATTGTCTTGTTGATGTAAAATTAAAATTGGTTTGAGGGTTTTAGTTCCTCTGTTGTTTTCCCACTGTTTTATGTTGTTTTTAATACAAAAATTACATATTTTTGTGCAAAGAAAAATCGCGATCCATAGCTTGAAAAATTATTTTTTAAACATCCAAAAACTCTTTAAAATGGCTCAAAAATCTGCTATTTTTGAGCTTTGACGAAGCCCTATGGTGGAATCTGATTTCGAGCGGGTCAACCCGCCAAAGGAAGAAGAAGACACTACATTAGAGAAATCTAAGAAATTCTAGGGGTTAGAGTGTGATTCTGAGAGAGACATCCTATTTATATTTATCATTAAAAAGTTTCAAAAAATCCATATCAATAGAAAATCCATTAAAATCGTTAGATTTTTGAATACCACAATATTATTTTTCCTTTGTTTAAAATCTTATTTGAATACCAACGAATTCGAACGGACTCTAAAATAATCTTTTAAAATTATAATCGAATGACTTTTTTTCAATCCTTTAAAATCTTAATTAAATACAATGGATTTCTTTGTCCAAAAATAATTCATTAAAATCCTTTGAAATCTCAATCCAATACATCCCCCTAAGTTGTCTTCGTTAAACAGCCATGGAAGGAAATGGGACGTACAATTAGACCTTCACTCGTTTAAAATAATAATAATAATTACAAAAAAGGATAGATTAAGGTTTTTAAAGATCTCTTTTAACCATAATTATTTAACACATTTTCTATACAATCGGAGTAGATACTCCCTTATTAAGAGATAAAAAATGGAAGAAAATAACTATAGAAGTATGGATAGTTTAAATGTGTTACTTTTTTCATATTTGATAAATGATGTATCGAGTGCTCGACACAACAGTAGTATTGAAAATATTTTCCTAATTTTAAAGACAGTTTGATAGAGTGGATAAAGTATATAATAAAGGAAATGTTGGTGGGAGTCTCATTTTTGTAATTGGTTTGATAATACTGAATTAGTTGGGTAATTATCAATTGGTGAATATATCAAAAAATAAAATAAAATAATTAAAAGAATATAATAGGTAAGAATCATGATTTCCTTTGGTTTATTTTGAGGATTTATAAACCCAGGGTGTCATGAATTTTAGGATTTTTAATACATGGGTTAAATGTTGTGATTGATGTTTGAATCTTATGATTATAGTGTAAGAGTGTTGATGATTGTGGTGACCTTGTGTTGGAGTCACCCTTTGAACCCACCTCGGGCCAAGGTTCCAATCTTAGGTTTTGAAGAATTGGGGGTAAGTACCCATTCCTTGTATATTGATGAGTTAAGTCATGAACTTGGGCTTTTTGACCCTTTTGCCCCTCATTAATTAATTAATAACCAATTTGCCCCTCCCCCAGAACTATCCACCAACCTGCCCCCTTTAGTCGATTAAGTTGAATATTTAGTCGACTACATTGCAAAAACACAAGAAATATGAACCCCGCGTTTTAATTGACTACATATGCAGCTTGATCGATTAAAATTCAAGGAGGTTTAAACAACTACTTTTATTATTTAGTCGACTGATGGTCCTCAAAAGTTGAGGTCCATTAAGTATATATCACTACACAAAACCCCTGTTTTGGTCACAAATCACTCTCTTTAACCTTTTTTTTCCATGAAGAGCAATTGTCTTGAAAAGTGGACCAGAGCAATTCTTGAAATGGGAATTAGAGTAGGCCTGGAGCAAATTGACATTATCTTTTTCACATATGATTATTGGGTTGATTTGTTTTGATCAGGAAACCTGAGACCTAACAGAAGGGCCCACACATTAAGGAAAAGAAGGAAGAATGCTGCGCAGGAGGGAGCATAAAAGCCTGCTACAGTACAAAAGGAGTAAAAGGCAGCAATCAGGAGCCTCCACGTCAGCCACAGCAGAGAAGGTGGAGGTGTCTCCCTGATTCCGAAACTCTCACCCCGAGAAAAAGCACCAAAAGCAAGGGGGACCACTGCCATGCAGAGCTGAGCTGGCAAAGAGCAGACCGGCTATTAGAGAGGATTTGAAGAAGGCACAGCCCTTGATGAAAGGGACGATGAGGATCTGACAGAAGAACCCTATAAAAGGAAGAATCAACCTTCACGAGAAGGAATCGGGACACCATTCGAGGGCTTGCCATTTATTTTTCCTGATATTTTTCTTTTGCAATGCTCACTAGGAGCTAACTTCCTCTAAGTAGGTGAGGGTTCCATAGAAGTAATCTCTTTTGTCTTAGGATAACTTTGTAAGGAACACATATTTTATGAATGAATTTCGAGCTGTTCTTTGGTTTAATATATTGATTCTGTGAAACCCTTTGGGCTGGCAACCTCATCCCGAGACCACTCGGTCGATGAAACACTGACAAGGGCGTGCGGAGCAGTCTCAAGATCTTGGGGTAGTTCAGCCTGAAGAAAGGAGGAAGGAACACCTGGAATGAAGAGCACTACCATGTGAATCCATGCTCTTTTGAGAAGGCAGCATGGTTTCCTTGAATTTAACTCTAAGTTCTACGGAGTAGTGTGGAGAGTAAGGCCTTGCTCTTTTACTTACTTGTGGCAAAACGACGAAAGGAGTAGAATCCATTTTTAAAATATGCTACCAAGCAGGGTTAACCAAAGGGATGAAAATATGGAACCCAAAACACCTACTTAACTCTTTATAAACTCAATCTCACATCAAACTTTTGTTATAACTTTCTTCACGACAACCAAATTGTGCTTATCTGTTACTGCTTTTATAATCACTTCACTAATTTCTTTTGAGTTACTTCAATTTGATGCCTTGATATTCGATGACTATGCTAAGTTATTCACTGCTCTCATCTAGTTCAGAACGGTTAACACTGTTTAACTAGTTGGCTAGAGATTGCTCCTTGTGAAGCTTGGTTGAGAATAACTACTTTCCTTTCATTTTTCTAGAATTAAGTTTCCCTGAACGATTCTTTCTTCACAACTGCTCCCTGAGGACGATAAATCTGGGGCTAACAACACCCTGTATTGCTTGACACGTACGCTTGCGTATAGTTGAAGAGGGTTGCTCTCTGTCAGAGTAGATTGCTCCTGTTTGCAATCTCGATTATCACACTGTATTATTGCTCCTTAAAAATATCCCTGAACAGCTCTCGGTTCGACCAAGCATCGACTACATTTCGCAGAAAACGTTTTTTAAAAACCCCCCATTTCGCGAACGGGGTTATTTTGAAACCTAGTCGATTACAAATCACCAAGTCACCACCTCTTGAACAAACCAAGCGAAACCCCTCTCATTGGCCGTCCGATTACACCAAGTCAACTATCTACCTTGTGAATTTGAGTTGCTAGGTAACGATTAAACCCTTGCATTGTGTTTTATGTTTAGTTTTTATTTTTATTTTTTCTCCTTTACATGATTTTGTTTCTGTTTTTTTTTTGTGTTTTATGGCAGAACGTTGGTTGATTTTTGTTGTCTTCAGTTATTGATATTGTTTTATG